CACAGGGGCAGTAGAGACTGACAAAAGCTTGAACAGCAGGAATTTGTTCTCTGCCAGAGGGCAGCAGAATTGGCCTATCTCTAGTATTGACCTGAGGCTGTGGGACCTTGTGATAGAAGCTTGATTCCAGGCTCTGTTAGTGCTAAGCCAAGCAGAGCTGATTATTAAGTGTCCAAGGACACCTCTTCTGATAGAGACATAGGTGAGTTTTCTCCCATTCCCTGCCTCCCATCCCCAGGACAGCCTGCTAACAGGATTCTGTTGTGGCTGCAAATGAATTTGCTGTGATCCCAAACTCTTTGATTCCAGCAGCCATCCCTGGAGAGGAGCCCTGAGGGAGAGCATCCAGGCCATCCGGATTTTCTGCATGGAAGACCTGGCTGACCGCTGCCTGGGCTGCCTTTCAAGTCTCACCGAATTATGAAGTCAACTGTTGGGTGTTTAGAATGTCTCAAGTTCAAAGACTAGCAGGCTGGAAGCAGACATCCGAGGGACCTTCAGGCACCTTAGCAGGAGGAATATTAAGATGTGGCACGCTGGGCTTATCAGGAGACTGGATAGGGAATCAGAAGGAATACATTTTTATTCTGCGAGCTGCAAAGTTCAGGAGTCGTTCTTCTGACATCAGGCCCATTGGTGGGTTTAGCTTTGGTGCAACTTTCTTGGCCATGGAGCTTAACTAGGAGGGAATGAATTCCAATGGTTTTGGCCTGTGCTCCTTAGAGTCCCAGGGATCAGTGGGAGGTGAGTGGCTGGGTGGGTGGGTGGAGCAAGGAGAACAGGGTGCAGGAGACACTGACTCGTATTTGTTTTTCCTACAAATATTTATTGAGCCTCTAAGTATGTACCAGGCACATTCCAGAAGAGTGACTCAGAGGTCGTTTGAAGTGTGTGCCAGGAACCACTAAGCATGGCCCTTGTCTCTCTTTGTGGGCCCTCTTCAGACACTTCCCCCTCATACACGGGATCTGGGATCACTAAACATCTCATTGTCCTTGGATTCACCAGCCTTTGAACGTGCTGCTCCTGCTGGAAAAGCCCTTGCTTCCCCTCTTCACCTGGAAAACTTCTATTCATTCATTAAGGCCTGACGTCACGTTTTCTGGGAAGTCTTCCTTGCTCACCCCCAGGCAAATTTGATTTTTTGTCAAATTTGTATTATTTATATCTTTGTGTTATTAAACTTCCATCACATTTCAGAGTTTGAGTGTTTAACTAACTTAACCTAAGTTCACACAGCTAATTAGAGTCTCAGCTAGGATTTGAACTTGGAACTTCCTGACACCAAAGCCAATAAACTTAACCACTAGATCACATGTCTACTGAAATTAGTGGTTCCTTCTCTAGGCTCCCAGGGCCTCCAGAATTTTGTCATGGAACTCATCATTCTCGATTGTCATTATTCATTTGCTAGTGAGGTTTCTAGGGGAACGGGCTATATGGAGTCGCTATGATGACTCAGCATAGAGTGGACAGCCCAGGTGCTGGTGGGATGATAACAAAGGTTATTAACGTGCCCAGTACTGGGCTAACCTCTCCATATTCATTGTATCATTGATTACTCATGGCAATCCATGAGACAGTCATTACTACTCTTCCATGTCATATTTGGAACAACTGAGGCTTAGAGAGCTGAAACAACACATCCAACTCCCACAGCCAGAAGAGGCAGACCTGGGGTTCAAACTCAGGTCTGGCTTAGTCCAGAGCCCATACTTTTAACTGACATATCATACTACTTCTCCTGGACATGTTCTCTCAGACCCTATAGTGGCGCTGGGGTACAGAGACAAGTGCCACCAAGCTCCTACCTTCAAGGAGCTCACAGTCAAGTGGAGAAGACAGGCATCCCAATATCCCAGGCATCCCTGATTACCGTGACATGAACAGATAATCATAACACATGCTGTAATGTAGGTAGCCTGGAGAAAGGAGTAAATAATTAGTCAAACAGAGGGAGTGCTGGGGAAAGATTTGAAAAGCAGAGAGGATACCTGAACAGGGGTTTGAAGGTTAAATAAGTGTCTTCCAGGAGACAAGGAGGTAGAAGGACACCAGACATACAGAGCAGCATACACGAAGGGAGGAATGGAGGGAGAGAGAGAGAGAGAGCTGCTGGGTGGTAGGGAAACTCCAAGTGATTAGAACTTTTACCCTTCCTGTCTCTCCTTCCCCAGCTGACTGTGCTAGGAAATGTGGAAAGCTGCAGCTGCAGAGAGCTGGCTGTGCCTGCTCCACTGGAGTTCTCAGTTCTCTCACACCTGTCTGTTTAGAAAGGAGCAGGTGGGCTGTGAAGGTCTGCAGGATTCTTCTCAGTGCTGGGGCATTAGGAGAAATGGTGGGGACAGCCACTCTGGGCATCAGAACTGAATACCTGCTCCCCACTCCTGTCAGTTGCACAGCCCAGCTCCTGGCTTCACTGCAGTGGGAGGGGAGATGAGGGACTCTTGAACTCAGAACATGACTGACCAAGACCCTTACAGCTGGGGTGGAGGTAGGCGCCCGAAGGCAGGTTCTGGAGGTGGGGAGCGAGTCTTCTGGTTGTTTTCCTGGCAACAGCAGGAATAATAGAGTCTAGGTTCTGGCTGGCTCAGGAGCTGGGGTGTCTGGCCTGACTTTCCTCAGTCCCTTCTGCTATAGATACTGACAGTCCTCTGCCACTAGGCTCTGCCTACCAAGTCCCTGAGCTCTTCCTGACCTAGCCTGGCTCTGAGTGGGGAGCCAGCATGGCAGAGGGTGGGCCTGGTACCAGTTGTGTCTCCCTGAATACAGGATCTGAGAGCTGGGGGGCTTTGGACGCCCAGAGCCCATGAGCCTGTTCTCTTCCCTCACTGTAGGTTCCCAAGCCAATGGCTGGTTCCTGATTTTACCTAGTTTTCTGCACTGGGATAAGAACCTGACATCCAGCTTCCCCTTTGGGAGTAAGGCCTCTTCCAGGGGCTGCTTCTGGTCTGTGTTTTCCTCTGCAGTTTGGAAGCCTATTTCCCCCATGAGGGCCCTAACCCTACCCACGAAGACACTACACACCCTGCTTTGAATTAATGTCCAGACTGGACTCCAGATGCTGCCTCGGATTAGACCCAATTTGGCCACATCTTCCTGGAGCTGTCTAGTAATTTGGAATCCACCCTGCTCCCTACTTAGCCACATGCAAAGCAGGGTCCATCTCCCAGCCTGGTTCTGCCTTTTCCTCAGTCTTATATGTGTGTGTCTGAGTACATGTGTCAGTCAGTGATCATGCCAGGATGGCCAGTTGGACTTGTGTCAGCATGCATGTGTGTTCCTTGAGGCTGTCCCGTGCAGGTGTGCACCAAGTTCTCAGCCCAGTTCTGATGTCTGTTTGTGAATATGCCCAGATACATCATGAACATGGCTGGGATGCTAGGAGGGGGATCAGTATGCATGACATTGCATGTCTTCAAGTACACAGGTATGTGTCTATGCACACGCACAAACCTCTCTAATATGTATGTATGCATGTGTACATGTGTATATATGGCTAAGTGTGTGTCTGGGAGTGTTTGACCATGTCTGAGATGAGTCTTCTGCCCATTCTGAAAGGAAAGGGGACAGGGGTCCACTCTCCCTTTTTGTAGTCACACTGTGGTTGGGGCTGGCTTGTGACAGAGGGAGTGAAGGTAAGTGCCCCTCAGAACCTTCTGGGATCTTTCTGCCTAACATTCTGAGACTTCCCCAGCTGTTTCCTAGCCTTGCAGCCTTGGCTTTTAGTACTTCAAGATTATTTGGCCAGGCGCGGTGGCTCATGCCTGTAATCCCTGCACTTTGGGAGGCCAAGGCGGGCAGATCATTTGAGGTCAGGAGTTTGAGACCCAGCCAACATGGTCGGACTTTGTCTCTACTAAAAATACAAAAATTAGCCAGGTGTACTGGCACGTGCCTGTAATCCCAGCTACTTGGGAGGCTGAGGCAGGAGAATCACTTGAATCCAGGAGACAGAGGCTGCAGTGAGTTGAGATTGCACCACTGCACTCCAACCTGGGTGACAGAGTGACACTTGGTCTCAAAAACAAACAAACAAACAAACAAACAACAACAACAACAAAAACAACAAAACAAGAAAAGAAGATTATCTGGTGCCTTGGCCCAGTCCCCACCCTTCACTTTGGAAAGGGTGTACCTGCAAAAGTTACCAGAGGAAGCCCACACCCCCATATTTAGTCTGGCAATGAAGTCAACCATTCAGGACTTGCCTACTGTAGTCTGTGTAGGTCCTCCTCCTCCCCCGCTCAGGTCCAGGCCATTGTCCTCAGTGGGACAGGGAGGCCCAGGGAGGGGCTCCTGGCCTGGCTGTTCTGGAGGCCTGGGCTTGCCAGAGGCCTTCAGCTTTGACAGAGGACTCCGGGCTGTTTGGAGGCACTCCCAAGGCGCCTGTGCTGTGTCAGGGGCAGGAGGTGATGGCGGGGGGTGGGTAACATGTCCAGAGCTTTCCCTTCCCAACAAGTCTGTGGATGGGCACGGAGAACACTCGTGGGGAAATTACCAATTTAAATCGGAAACGCAAGCAATTTGGATAGAACCCCAGGACTGCAGTTTGAGAGCTCGTTCTCTGCCCCGTGGGGGTTTGATTACAACCAACTTGGCTGATCACGTGCAGAGAGGGCCAGAGAAATGGTTTCCAAGGAAACTCAGATCTTTCTAAGCCCCTTCTGGCTCAGGTGGGAGCCAGGGCTGGCCGGGAAAGCAGAGGCTGTGCTGAGTACCATGGGGCTCAATTCCCGGTGAGCCCTCTGCCCACTCTCTGCCTGCTTCTGTGCTTATCCCTGCTTCCCCAAACCTGGCCTGCACTTTCATTCCTGTTTACAACAGTTGTTTCTCTCTTTGTCTCTGCTCCCTTAGTCTTGTTATTTATCTCAGTTGATGTTTGCACTTGGGAAAGTTGGCAAAAAGTTAAAAAAAATTCTTATTTTTTCTTATTAATGGTGATTAAAAATATCACGAACAATCTTCTACATATACTCATTTACTCTTTTTCTTTGTAGGCCGTGGAAACAGAAATCTAGTGGAGGACTCTGATCCCTAGGGGATGTAGGGCCACTGGACCCAATTCCTGTATAATCTTGTGTGGTATTTCCCTGCTTCTGCTCACCTTCATTGGATGGTAATGTTACATTTGTTAACCCACTAAGGTTTTGGGGGTTGTTTATTAGGCAGTTGTCTAGCCTGATAACACAAACCTGAAAGAAGGGCATTCAGCACCTACTCTGTTCCAGAAATGCCACAGGATTTAGTTCTGTTATTTTCATTTTCACAGCAACCATATGGCAGACAGGATACTATGAGTTCATCAAACCTTTTTTCTCCTGAAACTACATTTCCCAGCATGCCTTGCTATAAGGTTGCATCGTGTGACTGAGTGCTGGCCAATGGAATGTGGGTAGGAGTAATAGATGGCACTTTTGTGGCTGCTCTCCCCCAAAATATCATGAACAATCTTCTACACATACTCATTTCCTCTTTTCCTTTGTAGGCTGTGGAAACAGAAATCTAGTGAAGGACTCTGATCCCTAGGGGAAGTAGGGCCACTGGACCCAATTCTTGCATAATCTTGTGTGGTATTTCCCTGCCTCTGCTGACTGACCTTCATTAGATGGTAATGTTACATTTGTTAAGCCACTAAGGTTTTGGGGGTTGTTTATTAGGCGGTTGTCTAGCCTGATAACACAAACCTGAAAGAAGGGCATTCTTATCCCTATTTTTCCATGGGGGAAATGGGCTCAGAGATACTAAGTAACTTGCTAAAGTCACACAGCAAATAAGTGGCAAATCCAGATTTGAGCTCAGGTTATGTCTTTTCCACTATCCCAGGCTAACAGGATGATTGTTCCTGTGTAGATGTTGCCTTGGTCTTTGTCTCCTGAGGAGTCACAGAAAGAAAGACACAGACAAGGACTTGGAGGTAGGGAAGGAGGGAGCAGCTGGGGGGCAGGTGTGTAGTGGCGCATCATAGCAGCAAAGGGAGGTAAAGGTTCTAGGAAGGGGTGGTCAATTGTGTCTAATGAGACCCAGCCAGGTGGAGGAGGAAGAGGGCTGGGAAGAGCCCATTAAATTTAATGACCTCAGTGACAGTTTTATCTGAGTGATGGGGCAGATGCCAGCTTGCAGGGGGTTTGGGAACAAGTCAGTGATTATGACGGTTAAGGGAAGGAGAGAGGAAAAAAAAGAGAGATAGCTTTAAGTGGAAGCCAGGCCAAAGGAAAACATTTTGAGAAGGAAATCAGTAGTTAGGGAGAGATTAAAAATAAGAAAGGGAATCATGACCTACATAACACAAAACATCTGAATGTGATGATTTCCTCCTTTAGACTTGGTTCTGCTGTGCATTTCCAGGGCTAAGCTGACTGGCCAGGAAGCAGGGAGCAGGGAGGTTGGACACAGCCAGCAAGTCATGCAGCATTAACTGGCCTGAGTGGGCAAGCAGGTGGCAGCTGAAGTATTGTGAATTGAAAGCCTGAAATTCTTCAGGATCTTCTAAGATTATATATTTGATTGGGTCACAGATTTAATGTGGATAAGCCTAGTTGATCAACCTGAGGAATAGAGGGTGCTGTCACCTGCACACCTACCACAACTTCCTAGAACCTAGTGGCCGAGCTTGTTAAGTGTCCCCAAATGCCCATTCTCTCCTTCCTTTTAGTCAAGGAGCCCTGAATTTTAGGGAAGAACATGATCATTTAGCTCAGGACCACAGTTCCCAGACTCCCTGCAGCTGGATGTGGATGTCTACTCAGTTCTTGCTAAAAGGATGTGAGCAATTTCCAGAGCACATCCTTATATGGAAGCTATTTGCAGTGAACATTGTCTATTTCCTCCTTTCAATGAGGTGGAACTTGGAAGTGCTGGAGATGAGCTAGCTGTGGCTGTATGGACAAAGGCAAGACCCTATGGGATGGCCGAGCAACCACACAGAAGAACTCTTGAGACCTCAAGGAAAAGAACTGCCCGCAACTGCTCTTGACACTCTCTCCCTCTGGCCTGTTGTGTGGGAGAGAAATAAACTTCTATGTTATTCAAACCACTGGATTTATGGGTCTTATTGGTACAGCAGCTTGTCCTGCACCTTAATTAATATTCCCCCTGCCCCCTCCCTGTCAATGTCTCTTTCTATAGTGTTCTCCTTCATTCAGTAGTTGACCCATCCCCCCTCTCTCATTTCTTCCCTTCTTTCTCGTCTCTCCCCGCTTTCATGGCCATATTCTTTGAGTCTCTACCCCACATCTAGACCATCTCCTCTTTCCTGTTCTGTTTCTTCTGTAGAGCAATTTATGCCTACCAACACGAGCGCTCTCCAGGGTCCCGGTCTTGGCCCTGCTCTGCTTTCCCCTCCACACTCTACGTGCTTTCTTGAGTCAGTCTCATCTACTTTCTCAGTTTAAATTCTGCCTGATGACATCATACCTGTTTCTCCCACTTGACTTCTTGGGTCACCTCAGTTACATTCAACATATCTGTGTCAATTAGGATGCTTGTGGCTGTACATGGCAGAAAACCCAACTCAAAATGTCTTAAACAATAAGGAAATTTACTGACTCATATAAAAGGATAGGACAGGTTGACCTTCTGGATGGCTTGATCCAATGATTCAATGAATTCATTAAGGGTCCAGGTTTTTCTGTCTTTCCATTATATTCTTCTTCTAGAATGGCCTTATCTCTTGAATTGGAAGATTGCTGTCAGTCCTAATCAGTATGGGATGTTTTCCTGTTCTCATCAGGAGAACGCTCCTCTCCCACAGTTATTGAAGACAGATGCTTTTCTTTGGCCTGAAGGAATCAACTTATGGCCCCAACACCAATAAAGACACAAGGGAATAGTATGTGCTTATTGGCTTAGACTTCTACTCCAATCAGTCATTAGCAAGGGGGATTATTATGGGATGGGTTATCATGATTGGGTTACACGGGTCAAGGCCCATCCTGGATTTGGAGTGATTCCTCACATCGTGTTTCTGGGACAAGTGGCAGAAGGCCTGAATGGATGTTGGGCAGCTGATTACAATGTCAACTTCAATATTAAAATCTAAATTCATCATGTATACTCATCCCCCTCAAACCAGACCTCCTCTTGTCTTTTCTATTTCAGTTCATAGTCCTACCATGAACTCAACTACTTTATCTGGAAACTAGAGTTTTCTTTTTGACCCCCTCAATGATTACTCAGTTACCCAGTACTTTTCTCATTTGTAGCCCCCTCTTCTATCTGCTCTCCTCACTCTAACAGTTTTTAAATTGGCTTTCTTTCTCCAATCCCAGTAATTTTCAATCCACTCTCCCTGCTGCTTCCAGAATGAGCTTTTGAAAATACAAATACGATCCTTTTTGTCAACCCTTTGCTTAAACCCTTCACTGGCTTCATATCATTTACATGATAAAATCTGACCTTTCCCTAGGTAGCTGGGGGGTAAATAGGATTTAAAATGCTTTATCTTGGCTACAAAAGGAGCACAGCTAACACTGATGCATAGTAATGTCAGTAAATATTTGCTGCACTAAACAGAATGCTGCGTGGTGTGTACATATGTGTACAAGGGCCTGAAGAGAGGGTGAGTGATTGGCATGAAGGGAGAGTCGACACGAGGTAGCCTGAAGTTTGACAAAGCTCAGAATTCATACTGGCATGGTAGGTTGGTCTGTCTGTTTTTAATTGTAGTGTGGTGCTTAGGAGCTTTGGTTTAGAAGTTACGCAGCTGGGGTTGGGTTTGAATCCTGATGTCATTCATTGCCACCTTGGGCAAACTGTTGAACTCTCCAGCATCAGCATCTACATTTCCTCTGCAAATGAAGATAATACTATTACCCACATCCAAGATTTCTTGTGAGAATTTGCTGAGGTGATGCTCAAAAAGCACTCAGCATGAGGTGAATACGAAATTAATGTTGGTTGTTATTGTTATTACTTAATTGAAACGTAACATAAATTATAGTCATGCTCCATACAATGATATTTTGGTCAACGTCAGACTGTATATATGACAGTGGTCCCCTAAGATGATAATGGAGCTTATACAGAAACTTGATATATGGCACTTGATATTGGCATTGTAGATCAAGTAGGGGAAAATGATTGATATTCTGTAATGGTGCTGGGACATTTAGTTTTCCATATGATAAATATACATATAAATAAAAATATATATACCATCTAGGTTTGTGTAAGTACACTCTATGATGTTCAAGCAATGACAAAATTGCCTAACGACACATTTCTCAGAATGTATCCCCATTGTTAGGTGATACGTAGTTGTACTAATATTTAAAACGATTAAGAGATGTTTTATTAGTACAAACTTCTCCTATAAGAGGATGAATTACATAATATTTCCTTTCACACACGAACACAAATTTTTCTATTGATTGTCTTCACTGCATTAAAATTTGGAATGGGATGTCTTTAAGTGCAAATATTTTTACATTACTTTTTAATTTTTAAAGTTTTTGAATTTTTTTTTTTTTTTTTTGAGACAGAGTCTCACTCTGTTGCCCAGGCTGGAGTGCAGTGGCTTGATCTTGGCTCACTGCAACTTCTGCTTCTCAGGTTCAAGCGATTCTCCTGGGTTCAGCCTCCTGAGTAGCTAGGACTACAGGCGTGCGCCACCACGCTCAGATAGTTTTTTGTATTTTTAGTAGAGATGAGGTTTCACCATGTTGCTCAGGCTGGTATCGAACTCCTGACCTTAAGTGATCCGCCAACCTCGGCCTCCCAAAGTGCTGGGATTATAGACCTGAGCCACTGTGCCCCACCATTACTTTTTAGGTAGTTAAAAATTCCTAAAAATGAAATTCAAACCAAATGTTTAGGGACCTCTTGGAACATTTCTGAGGAAGGCTGTGCTCCATGGGACATAATTTAAAAGCTGTGGATCTAGCCCTGCCCTGTACAATACGAGCTGTGTGCCTACTGGGCAACTGACATTGGCCAGCCCAAACTGAGAGGTGCTGTAAATGTACAATACATATGAGACTCCAAAGACTTAGTACAAAAAAAAAGTAAAATCTCATTAATATGTTTTCATATTAATTACCTGTTGAAATAATATTTGATATATATTGAGTTACATAAATATATTATTAATATTAATTTTACCTGTTTCTTTTTACCTTTTTAAAGGTGGCTACAGAAAATGTGCAACATAGGCTGGGTGCGGCGGCTCATGCCTGTAATCCCAGCAATTTGGGAGGCCGAGGTGGGTGGATCATGAGGTCAGGAGTTCGAGACCAGCCTGGCCAAGATGGTGAAGCCCCATCTCTACTAAAAAATACAAAAATTAGCTGGGTGCAGTGGCGGGCACCTGTAATCCTGCTATTTGGGAGGCCGAGGCAGGAGAGTCGCTTGAATCTGAAAGGCAGAGTTTGCAGTGAGCTGAGATTGTGCCGCTGCACTCCAGCCTGGGTGACAGAGCAAGACTCTGTCTCAGAAAAAAAGAAAGAAAAAGAAAATGTACAACATGATATATGTGGCTTGCATTATATTTCTGTATATTTCTAACAGGGCTGATCTAGACTTCCTCCAGCCTTACCTCCTTCTTGCCTCTGGATTCACTGCCTCTCTGTTCTGTTTTGCTCTCCTTAACTCCTTTGGAAGATCTCCAACATCCACGTTTTGCCCCGCATGTCTTGTAAACGACCTGTGGCCAGAGGTTCTGCACAGTTCTGTTCTGGGCACCTGTGAATTCTCAATTAGAACTTCCTTGGCCCACTCTGCCACCCCCTGTGGGTGGAACTGAGACTCAGGAGCACAGCCTGATGTCCCTAGAGACTTCATTAGGGCCAGTTCCTGTGTGTGGAACTCAGCAGAGCCTTTGGCTGAGCAGGAGTGGCTGGGTGCAGGGCAAAGCATACCCTTTCTGTGACCCTGGGGGATGCTACTCCTCCAAACGCCTGCTCCTAGACTTCTGCACTGTGGTGGTTATCAGCGTAACAGCAAACAATGGTGCGAACACAGGCTTTGGAGCTGGAGGTTCTGATCCCAGCTCCACTTTACGAGCTCTGCAACACTAGGCTTGCTTATTGATCTCTTTGCATCTCAGTTTCCTCTTCTGTGAAATGGGAGCAATAGCAAGCTGTGAGAATTACTGATAGACTTTAAGGGGCATGCATATAAACTGCCTAGCCTGTGCAGACCCTCAGTGGATCTGACTTCACTTCCTCTCCCGAAATCCATCTCCACACTGGGTGAAGAGTGAGTTTGGTAAAGGAGATGAGATGAGGAGAGCGGGAAGATGGAAAGGGCTCAGACCAGAAAGGCTGAGGGCACCAAAGGAAAACTTCCTGACCGTCCATTTTTGTCCAGGGCTAGCCCTGAGGGAAGAGACAGGACTGGGGCTGCTGGGAGCTCTGGGTTAATGAAGAACTGGAGCCCACTCCTCTGCTGTCACCATTGATCTTTCATTCCAGGCAGCTTGCAAGCTGCCCCAGGAATCAATGTCGGAAGGTGAAAACAAATTTCTAAAATTAGCCCAGAATACACTGCAAGAAAAACCTTTTGTGCAACAAATTGTAATGAAGCTAATATCCGAGGAAGGTGTCATAACAAGGAGCTCAGGAGACAGGCAGCACACCCAGCACTCTGCCTCACCACAGGGGACTCCGTCCCCATGGGTACTGATCCTATCCACTGGGAAAGACATACAACTTGTCACCACACGGACACATGCACAGCACATTCCAGCGCCTGTGAGTCCTATTATGCAGCCATTAAACCAGCAAGAAAGGACAGCCAGGCTAAGTGCTAATTTTGGGATGGTGTGGAGGGAGGGGCGCACATTTATACTCTGCTGGTGGCACTGGAAAGTGTTCCGTCTTGCCAGAAGGCTCTTATGTATGTGCAGTAAGTGCTGGAAAACCATTTAGATTTTTGGCCAGGTTACTCTGCTGAGCAGAGTCAGATGTGACCATTTGTGCTGGGTTAGGAATCCCAAACATGACAGTTTTCTGCTTGCTTTTCATGATGATGTGTCTGTGGTAAACCTTACTATCTGAAGTGAGCACCTCCCAGAAGCCCAAATGCCCGAGTGTCTTA